GTTATTTTTTTGAATAACTTTTGACAGGAATAAGGTAAAGACCTGCAGTTTTGATCAGCGTGTAGCCAAGACCCTCGAACATCTTTTTGCAAACAGAAACGCAACTGGAAAAAATTCTAAGGGTCGGTTTTCTAGCAAATCTTTGGAAAACCATCGCGTAGCTCCATTGCCTATCGTAGAAATATATCGCTTTTTTCGCATCGATAGGTAGTCCGTCGATTAGCCTACAAAATGAGAGTCAGGCGAGGGGATTTATCCTTCAAGGTTCCGAAGTTACAGACGTTTATCGAGAAGATACCTATCTCAGTGGAGACACATCTGGTAACCTCAAAAAAATCCTTGGTAATCCTTGGAACATAGGTTATCGATCATGCTGATTACGGTAGCAATGTTTGTATTAGTGCGGAAACGAAAATAAGGTCAGGAAATAAATTATTTTGAAAATTCGATTTTTAGCCTTTGACCGTCGTGGATTAAAAGTTTTATAATTCGACCATTTCTTTTGTTTTGAGTGTCTCCTGCAATATTGAGTCAATTTGAACTAAAAATGGCCGAATTATAAAACTTTTAATCTATCTAAATTATTTTCTTTCTCGTTTTATTTTACTAGCTAACAATAAATGGCTATCGCCTAATCATCAAGTCGCCAGCCATGAAAAATACGTTTGGAAAATGACTTTATTGGAATTGCTGGAGATAAAAAAAAGTGAACGGATTAAAGCGTAGCAGCTGTTACTAGTCTTGAAAAATGATTTATATTCTTTTGTAATCATTTTTTTTGTCGTAAAATCAAGCAGGTCGTAAGTGGATAACGCATGAAGCATTTATGCACTGTGAAAGTTAGATACTCTGGTGTCGGAGAACTGTAAAAAATATGAAAAATTCATAATTTTAATTAAATTTTCTAGTGCTCTATATATATTGAAAGCAAGCCCCAGGTGCCAGAATGCTCTAATCGGGTAGAGAATGCGTATTTAATGAGATCAGCAAGTGCATATATCCAGCTACTAGCGATAGAACTTATTTTCAAAGTAGCAGAAGTGCATAGATATTTACCTTTTTATACACCTGGGATCTGGGATTTTTTAAGAGTTCATATTTAGTTTTTTGATATATAAGCGCTATTTTCTATCCTTTAACAGCTGCTACGTTGTCCAATTTGATACATTCCGATAAACGAGCGACATACAATGCGTCGGCGCCCTGATGATAAGCATTAGAGTGAAAAACACAATATATAAGCGATCATCGCACATTGATAAAGGAATAATATATATAGGATATGTAATGATGAGTCACTCTCAGAATAAAAGGAAAAAATCTAGGCACTTTCATCTCGTCTCTAAACCATATCTTGTTAAGGTTTGTACTATCTTCTTTTAAACAGTAACTCAAGCCAGCTGTTGCTAGTATTTCTGTCAGTCCTACTAGTACACGTTTCTTCGACTGATAACGAATAATTCATTAAGTAAGGTGATCTGTAAAATTAAATACGTCCATTATCGTCATTCTGTTAACGACTAAACGAAGAGAAATAGTAGCTAGACATAATCATTATGGTTGAATGGACATATATACAAAGTTAAATGGATTTAGAGAAAAAATAGAGCGTACGGTTTTTGACGCATAAAATATTAACTAGTTTTTTCTTCTCTAGAGGAAGACATGAAAAATTGATTATGGCAATGGTTGTTTTGCTTAATTGAGTTTTAATATCGCTTATACAACTTTGTTGTTTTGACTTATGGTACTAGGTGAATAGTTGCTGTGCTAATAAATAAATTTTTTCTCTCAAATACTAGATTTGAGTGGTTTAAATATTCTTGTTTCTGTAAAACGGAAAAGCTTCTATTATTACTTACAATGTTGTCAATTTTATTTACATAAGTATGCAGAACTGTTCGCTATTCACTTTTAACATGTCAGCAATTCGAACTTAGTCTAATAAGATCAGATAGGCATTTAATACGATTTAATGAAAAGAGTATCTGTCTAGTTACACTACTCTCCTCTCTCACTCCTATAACTGTAACATCGAAAGTCTTAAGAGCCCTCTCGCTAGAAAGTCGAATTTTTTGTACAAGTTTTGAGATGGAGTTTTGCACATGATTGGATAGCCCTGATGTGTTTGAAAAATCATATATCTGCAAATATTTCGGAAAAGGTTTTCTAAGACCTTTATTAGGCAAATATTTCTCTTCCAAATTACTGAGCTGTGAGTGATATTTCAACCAAAAGTTACACTAGTTATCACTTTTTTCAAAATACCTAAAAGCCATCACCCAAAATCCTATGCTTTTGCCGATACAAGAATTTTATTTTAGCGCCGATCCACGATGTGTACGTTTATGCAGCCAATTCCAACGGATACTGAAATTGATATAATTATCTGCAGCGACCGCTAACTGGTTTCAATACTTTTACATTTTTTTATGGCTAGCTGCAGCGGGCGCTATTAACTTATTTTTTCATGTTTGAAATACTTTTAATAAAAGTGATTCGCATTTTCTGCGATAGTACTGTTTAGTTAAAATGTTTGTGCGCTGGACGAACTTTTAAAGCTTAGAAGTTATCGCTTGTTCTACTATTTTTGCTCTTCTTATGGCGTAAAAAGAGTACACAAGCAAGCATCCATTCCACATTATAGCATACTTGAATACGATATTTTCAATACCTTTCCATAATCATATTTTATTTCAACAACGTTTCCGTCGAGCTTCAGCTTTTTTCTTCAGTTTTCTTTCCCAGACTTTGTACTTTCAAAAATTTGCAAGCCGACCTAATGTTTGTCGTCGACAAATAAGACTTTTCGGCAGCTATACTATCAAAACCTGTAATCCTTCGAATAGGAATTTAATATACTGCTGAAAAAGTGTACAAAACATCATAAGGACAAAACAGACTTATTGCTAGGTATTCATCTAGTTAGTCAATATTACTGTCTTCTTCTCTTAACCCTTTCGGGACGGGAGGCCACTATAGTGGCTACTGATTGTTTTTGAACAGAGAGGCATTATTCATTGACGATCAGGAATAGCTGTGTATGTATTATAATATACTTATTATAATGATATATACCTAGTGTTATTTTCGTGATCAGTCCTGATTTTTCCTCTTCTTTTTGTTCTGCATCAACCCATGACACTATCATTCTGATTTACTCTCTTTCTTTTCTTTCTTTTACCTTAGAGATTGCTCTCTTTCCACACTCTGATATATATATATATATATCCATCATTTGAAACTTTTTGACTTATTGACTAGCGATCGATTACTCTCACAAACGATACATTAGAAAAGTATTTGATATTACTGCCTATTTCGTCTCGTTCATTTGGTTGCTTTTTGAACAAACCATGGCTGCATTCAAACACAAACGAAATACAGAAGTGGATGAAATTCATACTAATATTGAGTCCGACAGTGATAGCGATTTTTTTGATGATTACAGCAACGAAGAATCTGACGATGAAGATTAACCGGACCTTCCAACCATCCGGTTAACTTACTTGAAAGCCACCCTTTTAATAAACATATTTCGTCTTTGGCGCTAGCTTAACAGGTCGGTTAACTGGGTGGTTAACCTACTTGTCAACCTCCCACTCGTACTCGATTATGATAACCTAGTGCTAGGTTCATTACTAGGTTGCAGCTAGCTAACTAGGTAAAAAGGTACATTTAGCTAGATCCAGCCAGTGAATAACCGCCCGGTTATGTAGTCGACGGAGCTAGATTTTCTCCGTAGCGCACTTTTGCTTGAGTACTAACTTATTCTTCCAAACGATATACCTATTTGCGTATCTGTGAGAGAAACTCCTTTTTAAACGATAACCAGCTCTATTCCTCGTCAATTCTCTCAAAAACTAAAATGGATCTTTTCTAAGAAAACAGTTCAGTACCATGTACAACTTGTGCACTTTAAATTCGTACTAAAAACTGAAGCGAGTCTTCTCCAAGCAAAGTTTAGGCTTGCACAAGAATTGTCACAATTCCCAAATTCTCAATTTCAGTCAAAATTCTCCCAATTATCGAAGTCTCACTTTCCAGCAGAATTCTCCAAATTCTCAAACTCTCAATTTGCAGCAGAATTCTCACAATTCTCAATCTGCAGAATGTAAAAGCAAATTTTCGATTTACATCACAATTCTCAAATACTCAATTAACATGATTGTACAATCAAATTTCCGGTTTGTATCACGATTCTCAAAATTTTGAAATTCTCAGTTTGCACCAGCATTCGCACAATTTCTCTGTGTCCAGAATGTACAATCAAATTTGCTTTTACATTCTGCAGATTGAGAATTGTGAGAATTCTGCTGCAAATTGACAATTTGAGAATTTTGAGAATTGTGATGGAAGTCGAGAATTTGAGAATTTTGAGAATTGTGATGCAAAATGAGAATTTCATAATTCTGCGAACTCTGGTGTAAATTGAGAATTCGATAATTGTAAGAATTTTGCTGCAAATTCAGAATTTCAGAATTTTGAGAATTGTGATGCCAACCGGAAATTTGATTGTAATGCTCTACAAGATGGCATCGTGAAAACATTTTTGTTTTGTTTTAATACTGGGGTCTCTAGAGATCGGGTTTCCCGAGATCACCTCAAAAACTCACTAGCAGCACAAAGAGAGTTTATATTCGTAATCAGCATCATCGATAACCTAGGAGAACATAGGTTTCAGGTCAAAAGCGATTTGCCATTTGGGGATCATTCCTCATGAGGTTTATTCATTTCTAGCTGTCGTAATGCTTATGGCTCATACGAAAAAGAAGCGAATAAAAGACTACTGGTCTACAGATCAGCTTATCTCTACTCCAATTTTTACTCGAATATTCACTAGAGATCGCTTTCTGTCAATACTGAAATTTCTACATTTCAATGACAACCAGCAAGGTGGCGATCGATTGCAAAAAATCAAGCCAATTCTTGATCATTTGAGAAAGAAATTCAAACTTTGTATCAAACCATACAAAAACCTGTGTATCGATGAAAGCCTGATGTTATGGAAAGGACGTTTGAATTTCAAACAATACATACCGTCAAAACGACATCGTTTCGGCGTGAAATTATTTATATTATGCGACTGTCACACTGGTTTCATTATGAATTTTATTATCTATACGGGGCAACAGACGGAGGTTAAATTGGACAAAGAACTAGGAATGTCTGGTTCAATTGTTATGACTCTGATGAATAGCTATTTAGACAAAGGTCATGTAGTGTTCATCGATAATTGGTACACAAGTCCTATTCTATTCGAAAAGCTACACTATAGGCGAACAAGTGCTTGTGGAACTGCCAGAAGCAACAGAGCTGGTCTGCCTACATTCCCTTCGAAGTTACAAAAAGATAAACAAACGTTTCAACATACAAATATATTACTTGCATTGAAATGGCGTGATAAGCGCGATGTTCACATGCTGTCTACAATCCATGTACCAGATATGGTACTAACTAATAAAATTGACCGTGTAACGAACAAACCAATAGCAAAACCCCTTTGCATCAAGGACTACAACGACAATATGGGCTTAGTGGATAAGTCAGATATGCAAATTAGCTTTTCAGAATGTGTTCGCAAAACGATCAAGTGGTATAAGAAGCTCTTTTTCCATCTGCTCGATTTATCGATGTTAAATGCTTACATACTATACAAGGAAAAGAAACACGTAACTCTTGAGTTCACTGATTTTCGTCTACAAGTAATTCGACAGATCATTGACAAATATGGTACTCAACGGAATTCAAGAAGAGTTCGACCATCTGCTGACAAACCATTGCGACTGACGGCTCGTCATTTTCCATCACTAACCGGCGGAGGATCACGAAGATGCATTGTCTGCAGTACGACTAGCAAACGACCAAAAAAACGTTCTCGTATCAAGTATGAATGCTCAGATTGTAATGTAGGTTTATGTGTTGCAAATTGTTTTCGAGAATATCATACATTGCAAGCTTATTAATAAGCCTGAATGAAGAAAAGAATAAGTTGATTCTTAAATTTTATTTTTCATATGTTTTTTTGACGAAAAATAATCCCGTCCTGAAAGGGTTAATTCGTCGATGTTTGAGTACCCTTCAATGCATTGTAAAGGTTATTAGTTGGGGATAGTCTTTTACGAGACATAACACGAAGAATTCAGTCTGCCGTAATTAGTTTTTCTGGTGACACAAAGCTTTTTTACATTTCTCAAATTTTAGTTCTTTAATTAAAGAACAAAGCTTTTAGAAAAAATCTAATAAAAGTGGTTCAGATTTAACGTATTCATACTGACCTGGAAATATTGCTTGCTTGATGTTAGAAATACAACTATGCACGAATATTTTGTTAAATGTAAGAGCACCCACTAACACTAGGAGTTCCCGAAGTTAAAATCTGGAACAGCTAATCGATAGAGCGCGAGTTGAGTCTACTGATATCCATAATACATGAAGCAATCATTAATAACTGAGCTTTCCAACCATGTTTGCAGCTAAACACAGGCTACGACCCACTACCACCACTCTTAATAGACAGGTGAAATCCTCGTCAAAATGGAAGTCAAGCGAGACCGTGATTTTCGGTGTTCTGAGCATGGTTGGTTTCCTTACAGTCCTAGGACTGGCATCAGATGACTTAAAATAGCCTTAAAATCGCACGAAACTTAAAGAATTTGTCGCAGTCAGGACAGAAAGTTTTTATTCTCTAGGCTGTCGTCGCACTTGCTTCTCTTGATTGTTGTTGCCTAATCTTATAAGTAAAACTAATTTTTCACCGTATAAGCAAGAAAAAAAAATTTTTTTTTAATTTTTTTTATTATACAGCTTGACACATGGACTTGCAATGCATGGACTTCTTTTGAAAGCGCTGTTATATATATACACGTTTCTGTCCGCGCTATTTAGTCTGAAGAGAACTAAGAAGTTCGAAACAATTATAATAAATATTGCAAAAAGGTACATCATTCACGTGCACAAAATCGGTTATCTGCATTTGGTCAAGCTGTATAATTCGTTCAAAAACTTTTTTTCTTGCTTATACGGTGAAAAATTAGTTTTACTTAAAATGTGACTTTGGTTTATTTCCATTATCTCGACTAGAATGATGTATGTATTTATATATGTATGTATAAACAAGTCGGAAAAATCCCATGTACCACAGAAGAAAAGAGGATGAGAAAAAACCAACATGGTTAGTCTCCTTAGAAAAATCCTAGTGACGAATACGGATACTTCCCATACATCGAAAATATCAATGAGTACATTTATCGAACGTGAGCATGCATGGTAATTGATACATTGAAGGTATTTTCTTCGAAAAACTGAATCGCGGTGGAAGAGTTAAATCGAAAACTAAAAATTATCAAAAAATGAACTTAGCCGTTTTGCTCTACTTTTCAGTGAAATCAAATTTTCTCTTCACCGAAAAAAAAATCGGAATGGCTATTGCCACTCTCTGAGAGTGTCAACAAGAGCTATTGCCACTCTCTGAGAGTGTCAACAAGAGCTATTGCCACTCTCTGAGAGTGTCAACAAGAGCTATTGCCACTCTCTGAGAGTGT